ACCCGACCACCTCGTTTTGAATCCTAGCCCTGCCACTTACTAAGTGTATGACCTTTCTGTGCCTCAGTTCCTTCATCTGTGAATTAGAAATAATAATCCCAACCTCCCAACGTTATTGGAAGGATTACATGTGATCATACATGTAAAGCACTCAGAACTGTGCCTGGCACTTCTAAGTATAACTGTTACTGTTTAGTAGAGCCTTATATTACATACCAGTAGAGCTTTCCACTTTTCAAAAGAAACTTCCATGAACTATCTCATAATATCCTTATAAAGTAGGCAATAATCATTACAATTAATACAATAGTATCTCAGGGAGTATAGTCTATAAAAATACTGACTCAGTATATTGTACACCTGAAACTAATATAATATTGTGAACCAACTGTACTTCAATTTTAAAAAGTAAATAGTATCTCACTTAATCCTCACAATAATCCATTTTATAAGAACCAGGCTCAGAAGGGTTAAATGGATTGCTCAAGATCACACAGCAAGTAGTTAGGCCCTGTTAGGAAAAGGCAGAATGAAAGATGAAAGATAACTAACACACAGTGTCAACTCTTAAAATGAGGAGGGAGCAGAGGGAAGACAGGAAAACAGCTGGCTCACTCCAGGCATAATGACGCCATGGGCCATGTGTAAAATGACGCCATGATGCCATGTGTAAAAGGGGTGCAGGTTACACGCTGAGGAAAGCCAGAGTTGGAATTGGTGAATTCTGTCCAGAGGTGGCACGTCTGCCTAGAACGTATCGCAATGGCACCAAAGCAGGTCAGACACTGTTTCATGGTAATGAAACATACCGAGTCTACTTGAAGTCAGAAAAGTGTGAAAGTCTGGGAGTAGCAGAGCAACATGGAAAGAAGTTTCCCAAAGAAAACTTTGAAAAATGTTTGAACATTCATGGCCCCTCCCACACATTTTTGGACGTAGGAGGGAAACGCTGACCTTCACTTCAACGGACAAATGAAGTATTCATTACTAAGGATAAAGTGAACAATGTGATTATTCTGAAGAAAGTTCCCTATGTGCTTGAGAAGACTCAGAATGTGTATCTTCCTTCCTTTATCTTCAGTTTTGCTACTTTGGAACCCAGTAGATCAATTTCTTCTGGAGTCGGTCCTCCCATTTTGAAGTCAAAAGGTTATGGTATCTCCTCCCCTCCTCTTGCCTCTCCTCCCCTTCCCCCTCCTTTCCTCCCCCAGGGCTTGTACTGCTCCAGCAAGGTCTTACCAACCAATATGGTATAGTGGCGCAGCAAAGATATTTTCATCCCCTCTGCCTACTCTTGGTGCCTTGGAAAATAGAAATGAAAGATTTCATTCCATTCTTGCATGGGGAGTAGCAAAGAACTAGAGGAAACTTTGTTGAAGTAATACCTGTGAATTACTATGAATAAACCATTTGCAGATAATGTCTTCCCTATTTCTGTAGACTAGCCTTGTTTCTGGCTCAGATTCCAAGATCAGATCTTACGTAATATTGGGCCACTCTTGTTACCAAGTCTAAACTCATTCTGCTCGCCGCAGGACAGGCCAGTATATCAGGGGACGAGGTGTTGGGGCAAGGAATAGTGACTTTATGTGGAAAGCCTGCAGACCAAGAAGATGGCAGACTGGAGACCCATTTTCTCCAACTCAGAATTCAGGCTCCTTTTATACTAAAAAGGGGAGAGGATATGCTTGATTGTTGCAAACTTCTTGGGTAGAAGTTCTTTGTTCTTGAAATCCTTTGTTCTTGCAGCTGTCCATGTGGGTCAGATCATGGTATCCCTGTAAACCTCCAACAAAACAAACATTATTTTCTATTCTTAAACTTGTTATCATTATATGAATGGAAAAGTGTTAATATCCTTAAAGGTTAGAGCCTTGAGAATGGGCCATCCTGTATATTTCAGGCTGTAGGCAACATTCTTTTACAAAAGGTACAGAACCAGCAAGACTAAGCCTAGG